GGGCCCAGCGCGGAGCTGCGGGCGGGAGGAGGAGCCGAGCGAGAGCACAGGGCCCCAGGTACGGCATGTGCGGGGTGGGGGCGTCCGCCCCGCCCCTCCGGGCTGAACTTCCCGTCCCCTGCCCTGGCCGCCGCCTGCGCCCTCGGCAGTGTCTGGCCTGGGGAGACCAGGCACCTGGACGTTGGGCTCCGCCTAGCAAGTTGAGCATTGGTTGTGCCTGCGCTGAGCCAGACTTTCCCTCCACCCCCTACCCAGCGCCATGTGCTCCAGGCAGCTCTAGGCTCCGATCCAGGCAGGTGAGGGTGCCGGGCCGGAGAGAGCCAGTTCACGCGCGCAAGGGTCACTACTTCTACACCTTTTGGAGTAAACTAGCTGGAACACTCTTGGGGAGGGGTTGTGCAGATTGTTCTAATTTTCTCTGTGGAAGAGGAAGCAACATCTTGTATCACTGCAGTGGATGTGTGTAAATTCTCTGAAAAAGTCTATTCTCCCCACCCCGTAAGTGAGGAGGGAAGGGCTTGTCTCCCTTCCTCCTTTTCCAGAGTGTAAATCTTAACATCTGTCTACACACACACACAGAGGAAGGGTGGTCCTTGACTCTGCATGTGATGTGCATGGCTCTTGTTTAAAAGTTAATTCTCATTCTAAGAATCTTCAGGGGGATCATTTGTACTATTGCCTGTCATTTAGCATCGCTAAGGCCATGGCTGTACTGGCAGCTGTAAAACTCTGGTAGTTACAGTGTTACTCACAGGGCACTGCAGGGAAACGGCTATTGTGTGTCCAGACTGTGCTCCTTTTGATGGTTTAGCTTAGCATGTCCACGGTAGCAGCTCTTCCAGTGGCACAGATAGGGATGTTAAATTTTGATTAATCAGCTACTTGAGTAGTTGATGGAATTTCTATCAACCAGTCGATACGAGGGCTATGGGGTGTTCACTGTCCTGACTGCACCTCTGCCTTTTAAACGTAGGCTTTTACGAAGTTTAAAAGGCAGAGCAGCAGCAGGGAACACAGGGCGAGGGGGAATCCATGGGACTCTTGCTGCATTTCAAAGGCAGAAGCACAGCAGTCAGAACCTGGGATGAGCAGGGACTGTTTCTTTCTCCGTTTACGCTGTTTCCACATTGAGCCTCTGCCTCCCCACCCCCTGCAGAGACGGTGCTGGGGGAACTGGCTTGCTGCCTCTCTCTGATAAGGGGAGCGGGGAAGCAACTAGTCAATTACATCCCTAGGCACAGAGAGCAGTGTGTTGTGGTAGCTATCCCACTGTGCAACTGGCCACAGGGTGCTTCGGGAAGGGTTTGCAATGCCACGTGGAGCAGTCAGCATCACAGGATGCAGATTTCCCAATCCTATTGCTCCATGGTCATCCTGCTACATTAAGGCTACGTCTACACTGGCATGATTTTCTGAAAATGCTTTTAACGGAAAAGTTTTCAGTTAAAAGCATTTTTGGAAAAGCACGTCTAGAGTGGCAGGACGCTTTTCCGGAAAAGCAGTTTTTCCGGAAAAGCGTCCGTGGCTAATCTAGATGCGCTTTTCCGCAAAAAAGCCCTGATCGTCACTTTCACAATCTGGGCTTTTTTGCGGAAAACACTACTGTGCTGTCTACACTGGCCCTTTTCCGGAACAGTTTTCCGGAAAAAGACTTTTGCCCGAACGGGAGCAGCATAGTTTTTCCGGAAAAGCACTGATGACTTTACATTAGATAGTCAGTGCTTTTCCGGAAATTCAAGCGACCAGTGTAGACAGCTGGCAAGTTTTTCTGGAAAAGCGGCTGATTTTCCGGAATAACTTGCCAGTGTAGACACAGCCTAACAGTTGCTTTTCAACATAAGTCTGGGAGGAGGGGAGAGTATGTGACAGGGAGTGTGTGTGTGTGTGTGTGTGTGTGTATGCGGGGGAGGGGAACAGAAAGACTCTGTTTTGGGAAGGTCACCATACTGTCTTGTAAGTTCACTTAGTGGTAGAAATCAACCCCTCCTGAGGCAGGGGAAGGGGGAAACCCTGACATTTCAGGCTCCCTGCCCCACTCCTTGCATGGCAGTCTCATTCACACGCCTGCCTCTGTGTTCAACAGCACAAGCATTTCAGCTGAATGGTTTGCTGTGTGTCTTGGAGCAAATCAGCACGCAGGCTGTCCAAAACAGAGCTCTGAAAGGGGATATGCACATGCCTGCAGGGCAGACAGCCAAGTTCCAAACAAAGAAAAGAGGGGACTTGAGGGATTATGGTCTATTTCCACAAGTCAGTCACAATGAAATAAACAAGTGTCTGCATTGGCCCCCTAGTGCTGTATCCAGGGTGCAGCAAGCTCTATGCTTTTTGCCAAGGTGGTTTACCTAGAGCACAGCAACTGCAGAGCTAGTGTGCATGAAGTGCCTTGCCATTGCAGACACCTCGGGAGTTACAGTGCTGGGAGATGATTTACTGCATAGTAACTTGACAGTTTAAACTTGGCCTAAGAGATCCTTCTTCCAATAAAGCCCAGTGTTTCACTGCTAGGAATTCAGTACCTTTTCACAATAAGGCTGTGTCTAGACTGGCCAGTTTTTCTGGAAAATCAGCCGCTTTTCCAGAAAAACTTGCCAGCTGTCTACACTGGTCGCTTGAATTTCCGGAAAAGCACTGACTATCTAATGTAAAGTCATCAGTGCTTTTCCGGAAAAACTATGCTGCTCCCGTTCGTCCCTTTTGCACAAAAGGGCCAGTGTAGACAGCTCAGATTTGTTTTCCACAAAAAAGCCCCGATCACGAAAATGGCGATCAGGGCTTTTTTGCAGAAAAGCGCGTCTAGATTGACATAGACTTTTTCCGCAAAAAGTGCTTTTGCGGAAAAGCGTCCATGCCAATCTAGACGCTCTGTTCTGAAAATACTTTTAATGGAAAACTTTTCCGTTAAAAGCATTTACGGAAAATCATGCCAATCTAGACGCAGCCTAAGTGTTTTTTTTAATAAAAAATAAAAGGATTAGCAAAAATATCCAACTGAGCTGTAGATAAAATATTGTTACAGTAGACCCAAAGATTCTGCATATTTGATCAAGAATATATTTTAAAACTAAAAGTCCCTCTTCTCTGACCTATGACTCTTGACTTTGTGACACAAAATCAATCCCCCGTAGGCAAACCAATGGCACAGGGTTAAAACAGAACACGGGGAAAGGGAAAAAATAAACTGTTTCCTGCAGTAAAAGGTCCTCTTCAGCTATAGAATCCAAATCTTTGCAGGTGATTTGTATTCATGTTATATACTCTAATTTCTGCTGGGGACTGGCAGAAAAGGGGGAGGAAAGGGATCAAAACTTGAATGGAGCAATCTAGTGAAGTGTCCAAGTTCAATCTAGCTTTTGGTAGAGGTATGTGTACTGTACCAAGTTTTCACACATCTCTGCTGAAGGAGGAGTTACGTTCTTTTGCCACAGATGTGAGCCAGGCCTCCCCTAAATTATTGTTGATATGTCAATGGGAAGGGGTCATGGTGAGCCAGAGGGACTACTCTTTCCACACTTGTAGAAACTTATGGATACTTGCATTAAAACTCAGTGGCTGTCTCTACACTGGGCCACTTATTCCGGAAAATCAGCCGCTTTTCCGGAATAAGCTGCGAGCTGTCTACACTGGCCCTTGAATTTCCGGAAAAGCAACGATGCTCTGCTGTACAAAATCAGCCACTATTCCGGAAAAAACTCTACTGCTACCGCTCGGGCATAAGTCCTTATTCCGGAACACTGTTCCGGAAAAGGGCCAGTGTAGACAGCCCAGTAGTCTTTTCTGGAAAAAAGCCCCGATCGCGAAAATGGCGATCGGGGCTCTTTTCCGGAAAAGCGCATCTACATTGGCCACAGACACTTTTCCGGAAAAGCAGCCTGCCAATGAAGACGCTCCTTTTCCGGGAAAACTGAAAACGGAATAGTATTCCGTTTTAAGCATTTCCGGAAATTCATGCAAGTGTAGACACAGCCAGTATGTGTACTCTTCCCCGCAGGAAATAAGCTATAATGGCAGTAAGGGGTGTCGGCACGAGTAGGCTGCATCTAGACTGGCAAGATTTTGCGCAAATACTTAACAGTTTTTCCTGTTAAAAGTATTTGCGCAAGAGAGCGTCTACATTGGCATGGATGCTTTTGTGCAAAAGAATCTGTGCCAGTGTAGACGCTTTCTTGGCAAGAAAGCTCTGATGGCCATTTTAGCTATCGGGCTTTCTTGCACAAGAAATTAACTTGGCTGTTTACACTGGCCCTCTTGCGCAAGAATACTTGCGCAAGAGAGCTTATCCTTGAGTGGGAGCATCAGAGTATTTGCACAAGCAGCACTGATTTTGTACAGTACAAAGTTAGTGTTCTTGCACAAATACTCGCGGCCAGTGTAGATGCAAAATCTTGCCAATCTAGTTGCTGGGATAGCTGTATCAGCAAACCTCATCTGGAGAAGACCTTGGCTGTAGCAGTCATTGTGTGTCTGGCAGGTTCATGCATTTGTTCTAGAAGCCTCTGATCACTTTCATATCTACAAGGTTTCATGTTATTAATTACTGCTTCATTTGGCTTTTTCTCTGTATTGAGGCTGAGCGGTGATGAGTATGAACTCAGCAATGGGGAAGGGGCATTGCAACTTACTGACATAGAAACAGACCTTGCCCTACCTAGTCAGGCCTAGTTACCCACACAAGTTGTAACCATTTGAATAAATCTATTTAGAAACAAAAACTGGTTTAAAAATGTCTCTGCAAAGGGGTTACACTAATATGTCAGTTTCTGAACTGATTTTGTTAAATTGGTAGGCATGTGGATAGGGCTTTACAGTCTGTTGGAAATGACAAGATAATGGTGACATCAGGGTATGGCAATGAGAGCAATGAGCTTTAGAAGTAGAGATGTCAAACTTCAATTAATCAACTGAGTAATCTGTGGATGTTCCATCAACTACTTGGTTAGTCAAGTGGTGGAGCCGGGCACTCGCTATCCTGGTTGCACCTCTGCCTGCAGCTCTTAGTACATTTAAAAGGCAGAGGCGCAACGGGGAAGAGAAACAAGCGGAGACTGCTTGAGTCCCTGCTCACCCAGGATTCCCCATGACACTGCCTCGGACTTTTAAATGTAGCAAGGGCCCCGCTTGCATTGTGTCCCTACTGTGCTTCTGCAGAGATGGTGCTGGGGGAACTGGCTTTTAAGCTGGCTCCAACCCCCCCCTCCCCCGCTGCCTCTGATACAGAGACAGAAAGTGGAGGGAAGCGACTAGTTGACTGCTGACTAGCCTGCTAAAAAATTTACTGGGTGTAGTCTATAGCATTATGATAAGCTTTTTCTTATCAGTTAAATTGACTTCTGTATTACATCCCTAGTTCCAAATGCAGTATATGGTTGGCTGGACAATTTGTAATGCTGCTGTTGCTAACTCTGAAGTTCTACTGTAGTTGTTAAAGAAGTATCTAGCATGCTATGGGTACTATATAAGTAACTGATGTCTAGTATCTGTTCAGTTTCCTGTTTAACTTCCAGGAATTCCGTTTCTCTCAGGCAACTGGAGTTTGCATTTCAATCCTTTTCTTAGCATCATCTCAGGCACCATAATTATAATTTAGTTCCTTCTCACTCTTCATATTTTTCCAGTAAGTTTAAGTTGACAGTTTTTGTAATGTTTAAAAAACATCACAATTTAGTCTTTTTCTTTGTTTCAGATCATGCTCTTTCCAAGTTCAGTATTGATTTTGTCACAGCTCTACTGAGGCAAGAAAATGCTAGCAACATTTGTGTTATCCAGTTGCCTCCAGAAATGAGATACAGTGATTATTTTATAATTGTGAGTGGTTCCTCTGCAAGACATCTTCATGCTATGGCACACTACACGCTTAAAATGGTAGGGCAATTACTTCTACTCTTTACTGACTTTAGATTCTGAGGAATTTGCTAACTGGAAATGTATATTGTAATAAGTTTAATTCTTGCTTTTGCAAATAGAGTATTCTCCTTCTTGCTCTAATTAGAAGCTCAGGCAGCTACCAGACAAGGGGAGGTTCGCTATTTTGATGCAGCATTACCCTTGGTACAAATAGGTGATGTTAAAACTAACCTGCTTTCTGAGGTAAGGAAACAAAATATAAAGGATAGGTTGTGATTGGAGATCTCTCATCATCCTTCCTGGTAGACTGCAGTGCAGTGTTTTGGGGAATGGGAATCTAGGGAGGATGGTAACTGGAAGGTAGAGTGATAATTGTTCTATCATCTGTGACATTGTGGAGTGTTCAAAGTTTAAAATACAGTTGAGGGACCAAAGCAAAAATGGCTTTATTACTTACATACCAGATTTCTACAAAGGCAGGCATGGTCTGCACTCTGGAGTAGACTGCCCCTTTTTGTACAAACAGAATCCAGCTCTGGTGTAGAGAGGATGAGACCAGCTGCTTCATGGAATTGTTTCTATGTCCCCACGCTGCTCTGTTTACCTAAAGAGGCTCTGTGGCTAGGGACAATCAGCTCTCAGTGGATGCAGTTTGCCATTTCCAGAGAAGGGGTACGGCAGGAAGCAATACAGGCCTGACAGCGGCTTACACGGGCGGCTGTGCAGCCCACCTAGAGAATCACTGCCCTAAAGCCACCCTGAAGCTGGGAATGCAGCTATCTACATCATACTCATTCTAACTTTGTAATGAGCACAGTGGTGGTTTGTAAGAATCTTATTTACTACCTATTGTACTGAGTGGCTGCCCCCATCTCCTTCAGCGCAGGGTTGTGCTCAGGGCAGGTTACCAGTTTGAGAGCCGCTGGTATAATTTCTGCCTATGCTGCCAAGGGGGTATAAGGTCAGTAAAGGATGGATTTCATGGGGTCTAAGATTTAGGTCAAACTACCTGCCAGTTTTGTGGGGGAGATGAATCTCACACATCTCCTAACACTGTGCTGCATTGGAAACCTAGGCATGTAGACTCAATCTTGTCTTACACAAAAACCTGCACAGAACTGTACTGATGTTGCCCTAGAGGTCTAAGATTTGATTTTTCATAAGAACAGGTCAGCTATTTGGGCTTCTTTCATAAAACAGAACTCTTCTGTGCCTCTGAGGCGAGCTAAAAGCATTGACTTTGGAGCAAAGATTTTGCATACTGCTTTTGGATCTTACAAATTTCCCATCTCATAACACCCAGATCCTTCCCCTTGTGCCTGGTTCTCAAAGATACTTTATTCTGCTGACCACAGTGTGACAACTGCTATTTTAGATCATCTTAAACCAAGTGCATACTTCCTGTGAAGCTTGCACACTCCATAGGATTTAGATAGCTCCTCTTGAATGGAAGTTGCACATTCAACAGGCGTTAGTGTTGTGCCTATCTAGAGGGAAGAGAGGAGCAGCAGCCCTCCTTTAGTTAGAATTGTACATACTAATCTCTTGCAATACACAGATGGTGCAGCCCATCTACTCATCACATCTAAATCCAGGGAGCTTTTATTCTGATGATTTTTGAATTGGGAGGGAAAAAAGGGAGGTGGGGGAGTTGAAGAGGTTTATAACACCCCAGGTCTACCTAAAAGATTTACTGCAGTTGGAAGAGGTTTCATGCCTTGTAAGAATCGGGCATGGATTTACGTGTGCAACACAGACTACTTGCCCTGGCTGCGGATTCACCCAGCCACAAATATCGAAAAGATTAACCCGTTTTCCTTTTCATTTCCTATATTCCCCTTGATCTGCCTTCCTCAGTCTGACATTGGTCACATAAGCATATGTGTCCCTTTGAACTTGTCACCCTCTTCATGCTAGTTTTTTCCCCTCTGAATCTTTCCCTCCCTTATAATCCTACTCATTTCCGCCTCCTTGCTGGTTCCTGTTTTTTCCTTCCAAAGTGGTGGGTTTTAACAGGGAGAGAGGTAAGACTGCAAGAGTAGAGCTGAACTCTGCTCTGTGCCCCTAAGGCAAGGCTCATGCCATACTCTCTTCAGCGCTATAGGCAGGCAGCTTGAGGCTCCCGGAGTGGAAGTGAGAGTGACATGCCAGCATACTAAATGGAATGCTTACCTTGCATCCTCTCACCTGCCTGGTCAGGCTCATAGGTCAGTCCTGCCATTTTCATGTCCCCTTGCGGACACCAGTGCTTTTTAACCTAATAGCCTTCTCTCACCTCTCTCTCCATCCTAGTGGGGGGCTTTTTGTTTCAGGACTGCAGCCTTCTCCTGTTCCAATGGCTAATGACTGTAGCTCTAGCTCTGTAATACTTAGAAGAAGCTGTCCGGGAGGAAGAAGTCCCTGACAAAGGGGAGAGCCTCGGAGGAGATTTGGGTTCCCCTTTCATGGGTAAACTGAAGATGAGATTTGGGCAGCTATGAGAGAGTGCCTGAAAATGAGTCTTGAGGACAAACCATGAGGTTTAACAAACCTGAGAGAATTTTGGGGCAGGAGGGCCCAGCAGGTGGTTTGGTCCATTTTTCTCCCACCTGTAAATGCTTGGGCAGCAATCAGTCCACAGGGAGTCCTTTATCAAGTCTAGTAGAACCACACTAAATTGACCACTAGTCTCTCTCCCAGTGACTGCTGTTCAGCTCCTGAATGAGAAGAGCAAGGGGAGCTGATGGGAGAGCATCTCCTGTTTACATACCAGAGCTAAGCACATTGACTTCAACTACACTGTTCACATAATTGAAGTTGAGTAACTTATATCAATCTCCCCCAGTAGTGTTGACCTGCCGTAAGTAAGATCTTACCTTCAGGTTTAGCTTTTAACTTTGTCAGCACAGGGTCTTTCCTATCTTGGGTGCCTGTACACTATCAAAACCAATTCAGTTCTGCCTTTGATACCATTTTCCTCTTGATGTAGTACCAGCTCCCTAGCCGGCCACTTTCTGCTTATTTTCTCAGCACTATTTGTAGATAGTTGTTCTCATAAATTAAGGGCAGAAGGGATCATTGCAAACCTTCAGCCTGACTACTTGCATAACAAGCCATAGAATAAGTAATTCTTATCTTGAATCCAAGATCTTTTGGTTGAACTACAACCTACTTTTTAGGAAGGCATCTAGTACTAAAGATTGCAGATAGAGATTTTACCATGTTCTTTGGTCAGCCGATCCAATGGGTAATTTTGCTTATTGCTAATATATACACATCTTATTTCCAGTTTGTTTTCTACCATCAGTTTCTGGTCATTGGATCTTCTATGTCTTTGTCTCCTAAAAAGAGAAATTATCTGGCAGTACGGTGTAGACTGTGATCTTCATCTTTTTAAATTCCTTTGAATAAACAAAATAGATGAAGCTCTTTGAAAGGAAAAGTCATGTTTCCCAGACTTTTTTAATCTCTCTCAAAATTAACATAGTTTATGGGCACTAGAGCTGGGTATCGTTGTCTGGTGGCCATCTCACTGGTGAGATGTTCGAAGTTAATTTCTTTAGAACAGACATTTGGAAGTATCTGTCTTCATCCTGATTTGCTGCTTCTTTTACAGTACAAGCAGATGAAACAAGAAAATAATCCTCACGTTCTGATTGAAGGGAAAGATACAGATGACTGGATGTGCATTGATTTTGGTAAATATTTATTTAATAGATTCTAGTTCCATGTGATCTGTGGGTCAAACAGCATTTCACTGGTAAATTCTTATTGCTACAAATAGGTCCCAATATTTACCTCCCTGTAGCTCCAATTGTAATGTTATTGCCTCTCTCCCAGTTAAGTTTTACAGCAGAGGAATATGGCATTGAACACCGTGGAGTAACAACTCTGCATTAGCTAAAAATAGCTCTTAGTTCTCAAGTGTTAGGATCAAAAGTTGTGGAAGGAGGAGATATGTAAGAGTGTTTTAGTAATTATACATTTCTCTAAGAATGTTATTCAATTGCTGATTTTCTCTAGAGAATAATAGTACTGAAGTACTCAATTCAGACTAGATGCTGGCTAATAGATTCTTAATACTAAATCATTTCTCAGTTCCTCTAATACAGTAGTTCCCAAACTTTTTGGTACTAGCGAAACTTTTGGTGGACTGGCAATATTTTATTTGCATATCATTATGCAAACTATGAATATTGAAATTAAACATTACTGGTCTGCAAAAAGCCAAGCCCTCAGAGTCCCCACCCCTCCACTATTCCCCAGCACCAACCACTGATCCCAGAGATCCCTGCACTCAACCCCCCCAGTGCCAGCCCCCAATATTAGCCCCATCCCCAGAGTCTCGCGGCCATGCCCCCCGTTCCCCCCCTTGCCAGCTCTGCCCCCATAGTGTCCCTCCCATTACTAGCTCAGACTCCAGAGCCCTTCAGCACTAGTCCCGCCCCTGGAGCCTCCAGTGCTTGCCCTGCCTCCCTTACCTATGCTGCTGCCTGTGATGGCGTGGGGGCCAGGGCTGGGGTACACCACCCAGCACCTCCCCTCCCGCTATGGCTGTTGGGAGAAGTGTGTGTCCTGCCTTGCCCTGCCTCTTAGCCAACCATTGCTGGGCAGGGGTCTCCTCTAGCCACGAAAGAGCCATTCGCTGTGCAGTGCTGGGACTATGCACCACGGGGTCTCCTCCCAACTGCGGAAGAGTGCTTCCCTGCACGGTAGGAGGGCCATGCAGGAAGTGCTCTTTCATGGCTGGGAGGAGATCCTGCCCCTGCTTGGTGCTGGTTGGCTGAGAGGCAGAGCAGGACACGCCTCTCTCAACAGCTACCGTGAGAGCGGTGTACCTCAGCTCCGTCCCCCAGAGCCACTGTGGCTTGGCAGCGCGGTTGGTAACCACTGCTCTAATGTACAATGTTCTGATGAATGTGTTCAAGGGAGAGGAACCAGATCTATCATTTTAAAAGCTGTATGTCAAAGTATGCAACAATGAAATAATTACAACCCTAGTCTGGACAAACTTTTGTTATTTTAGAGTATAACTCTACAGATGGCTAGTTAGTTGGCTTGAGTATTATTGCTGGACGCTAGAGCCACATCCTACACAAACACTCTAATACTGCGGTGTCCAACCAGTTCTGAAGCAGTAGCCACTACTGCTATAGCAAACTAGCCACACTCCACCGGCCAAATAGCCACATTGTTCAAGTCAACTAGCCACACTCAACCATCCAATTAGCCACATGTGGCTAGTGACTAGCGTGTTGGACACCCTGGTTCTAAAATATTTCAGAATTTTTGGACCTGGTTTTACGTCTGTTGAAGTCAAAGGCACAAAGCTCAAAGGCTGGCCTTGTGCGGGAAAGCCCTTCTAAAGGAGTAGTGGTGCTTATTATTACTGCCAAACGTATAAAGTTGAACATAGGGTCACATCTTACACATAGGCTATGTCTAGACTGCAGGCTTCTTTCGAAAGAGGCTCTTTCGAAAGCATCTTTCGAAAGAGCCTCTTTCGAAAGAGAGCGTCTAGACTGCACGGAGAAATTCATTCCACGATCAGCTGTTTGTCGGCTCAGCGCGGCAGCCATGTAAATGTAAATGAAGCCGCAATCATTTAAATCGTGGCTTCATTTACCTTTGCTGAATAAACAAATCTACATGCCTCTGCCGACAGAGGCATGTAGTGTAGACGTACCCTAAGTGTTTTACGCTGAGAAATGTGAATCCTACATTGCATACAAGGTCATGATTTCTCATTGGCTTAGTTTATAAAATGTGTACTGTACACTTTCATATAATGTAGTTTTTGCACTGCATCCACCTTGTTCAAAACTTAAGGCATATTTTCCCATACAACTTTTACAAGAATGAGAATTGCTAAAGACCAGATTTATTAGGGCATAAGCTTTTGTGGGAAAGACTCTCTATCAGATGCATATAGTGAGTTTTGTCCACAAAAACTTATGCCCCAATAAATGTTAATCTTAAGGTGCCACGGGACTTCCTGTTTTTGTAGATAAACTAATATGGCTACCCCTCTGAAACTTTTATAAGGCAGCTGAACCTGTAACTTCTTTGCTGGTAGGTTCTGTTTCATTTTCAGGTGTGAAGTTTGATCAGCATGCTATATCTGTTCTTCCTACTTCATGCTTCTGCAAGCCAACTGAAAAGCCTAAAGATTAAACAATTTTACATAATTTACTAGGGTCTTGTTAATCTGAATGTAGTTAACATTCTAAAGGATTACTTTTAAGCTTCATTGTAGGGATGTAATAGTGTAGTCGATTAACCAAAAGCTTATAGGTTAATGCTATAGACTACACACATTCACCCCCCCCCACCCCCCTCCCCCCCCCCCCCCCACTCCCTTGCCAGTAAATTGTTTAGCAGGATGGCCAGCAACCTGGCTCACACTGGGTCCAGGACCTATCCCATCTGCAGCTCTATATTTAAAGTGTATTAGGAGCCAGACAAGCAGCCAGCCTGGTTCAGTCCCTCCCCCCGAAATGGGCTGCTGCCAACCCACATTGCTGTCAGGGTGCCAGGTGGGAGCTAGTCTGCAAGAGGAACTGACTTTTAAACTGGCTCCCCTTGCAAAACCAGCTCCCACCAGACACCCCACGCTACTGCCTCTGATAAGAGACAGCAGCGTGGCGTGGCAGAGGGCTCATCAGGAGTAGGGCCAGAGCACACTGGCTGCCAGCCTCACCCCTGGGAACTACAGAATAGTCAAGTAACCTATAAGAGCTCATGAGATTAATCAACTATTCAATTAATTAATATTTAACATCCCTACTTTTAAATTTCCACAAGATTCAAAACCTACACAATGTGGTAAAATGTGTGTATTCTAACAGGTCTTTTATTCAATTTATATTGAATGTATAATATTCATTTTACACACACACACACACACACACACACACACACACACACACACACACACACACACACACACACACACACACACACACCTACCTTTGTTTTCTATGAATGCATTGTATTGGCATTACACAAAGATGGATATGGAAGTGTTCCCATTAAGTTACATTTTCCTGTAAAAAGTGCAGCATACATGGAGGTAAAAAGATTGGCAGCTTAATTCATGTCAACAAAATATTTGTACTTCATGTCAAATTTAACCTGTACTTGGAATTTCCTCTAGCAAAAAGCAACCTACAGTTGTCCATGGCAGTTGTCCTTTTTTGACTTCTTGTGTCTTTCTGTCCTGTACAGGTAGCATAGTCATCCATTTCATGCTTCCAGAGACAAGAGAGATTTATGAGTTGGAAAAGTTATGGACTTTGCGTTCTTATGACGACCAGTTAGCACAGATGGTTCCAGCATCATTACCAGATGATTTCATATTTGGACTCACTAACAAGCAGCAATGATCAAAATCTTTCCTTCATAAAAGGGATTTACAAGTAATGCTGATATAGCACTCACCACTTCAAGATTAAAAGAATGAAACAAGCAATTTCTTGGTTAATTTTTGAAAGAGGGGACAGAAAAGAGCCACTGTGCTTGAATGTCCCACCACTGTTGTGCAGTTTGAGGGGCAAGGCTTGCAACATTATGGCTGTAGGACATGGATTACCTACTTGCATCTGTCTAGAATTATAGGTACAATGATTCAAGTTGGCAATTGACTGAGGAGGTGATTTCAGCCCCCTTGTTCTTCTAGAAGCACAAGGGATCTTGTGACTGAAGTAGTCAGCATCTCAGTTGTAGCTGAAAGTATACTGAATTAGAGGGAAGATTCGCAGCTATTTTAACTGGAGAAATGGCATGAACCTCAATTAAAAAGTAACTTCAGGTACTCTTCTGGACCCTGAATCTTCCTGCCAGTGTTTGGTTTTAATGCAAAAAATGTTTTTGTCTACTGTCACTGTATGTGAAAAACTCTAGTAATCAAGGTGTTACATAAAATTACATTGATTTGAAAGTTAATTTACTGTGTCTGACACCATTTACTGGAATGGATATCTAGTGAGCAGAACTCAACCTCGTTTGATTTAAGGTTAAAGTACAACCTGATCAAAGTAGTATTTAAGAGGGCTTATTTATACTGTTGGCATAGGGCAAGCTAAAGTATAAAGCTAAAACTGTACTAATGAGTCATATTCAAGGAGTTCCAGCATGCATGCTCATGTACAGGAGACCCTCACAATTTGCAGAATTGCTATTCAAAGTTTACATGTTCATTGGGGGGAGAAGGGGAGGTGTCTCCTGTTCAGGGCAGTGGAAGCTGGGGGAACTGCAGTGAGTTTCCTACAGCTGCTGGGAACCATGGTGAGGTCCCTGCAGCTCTTGAAGCCCAGGGAGCCATGGTTCCCCATATTTGTGAATGGTGAGGTTTTCCTGTGCTGCTGTTTGAAATGTTTTTGTGGGTGGCAGGCTGTAGTGCTGTAAACTGATAACCTGGCTTGCTGTGCATTAACTCAGCACTACAGGTGGATGCGCAGAGTGGACAGAGCAAGCTCCTGTTCTGAGCCCCTGCTTCAAAGATCCATTTAATATAAAGTTCTCAGAGAACATATCAGGTATTAAACTGATAACCGCTACTACACTTTAGCATGGCATGTAGATGAGCCCTGTAGTAGATTTTATGAGAAAGTAAAGAAGGTAGTGAACCTATAACCAAACAGCTCCTGCCCAAGAACTTGAAAAAACCCCCACATGCATTAGGAAGAAGCTTGGAAAACTATGCTTAAAACTACCCTGGCTTATGTTGAAGCTTTACCTAGCAGGCATGGCCAAATTTATTCCAAAGGGATGCCTTGAAGTCATTAGGTAGGAAAAGGCCACTGATTTAAGAAAGAAGGGAGGAGAGGAGTGAAGAGGAGAGTGGCCAGTCTTGTTAAACTGGGCTAAAGAGGGCACATCCAGAAAGAAAAAATGCTTTTCTCCAAATCGGCATTAAATTAGATGCTTTGTAAACAAAAGCACTGTGCTCTTGGAGACACACATTCCACCTAGGGTACAGTCTGCTATACTAACAATGAGTTGAGGCTCCTTCATGTTCAGAATTGATAACATGTTGTGAAGTACTGTAAGTAGTAATGTGCTTTCTGGGTGCCTCAGTGCTTTTCCTAATATCCAGTCCAAAGCGATTTCAGATTATTTTGCCAATAAAATCTGCTCTTAATGTGAAATAAAATCAAGTAGAAATGTAATCTCTCCACAAAGCATCCCCAGCTTTACACACAAAAGCACACAAAAGGGTGAGGAAAGAGCCCTACAGCAGATACTCTATACAAAATGACACTGAAATCTTAAGTAGCCCCAAACAGCATCACAAAGCCTCTATTGCAGGCAAACAAGTAGAAATCACACAAGATCCAGTTGCATTCAGAAATTATGTAACTGTTGGGCTACGCTGTAGTTGTAATACCAATGCAATTTTGGAATGTGTTCAGGTACTGTCATATACCCTCAAGCTGATCATGTGCATTAGCACCATGTGTCATTATCCTATGAATCCTATTATTCTAACACCAACATAGCAGACAATTCAAACTAATTGTTGATTAAAACAAAAGGCCATGAACCCAGGAGCTAGTGATTAATGCTGGTACAACATGAAGTTTAGCTTGAGAGACTATCATAGTAACTCTTATTAGAAATGCTAATAAAGACACCTTTGGCAGATTTTCTGTAATGTGATAAATATGCACAATTCTCTTAAAAGCCAACGAGGCAAGAAATACTCCAATTGATGACAAGATTGGTACACAAATTGAGCAGATGTTACAATGAAATATATGAGTAGCCAAATGAATTGCAGATTGCTCTTTTGGCATATCTCAACTACATGATTTTAGATTTGTCTGTATCATTACTTTAACACATAGGCTTAGATCCCTTCCAAAAGTCACAAAGCTAAATTTTTACATTTGTAAATCAGTGAAAAGAGTGGACGTGACTAAGTAGTAGTAGCCCACTGAATGTGTATTAAACTCTTGAAAGACACTTGTTTTCATTTTTGTCTTTCCATTTTAAATGGTTTGAAAGGCATAAGAAAGCCTCCCCTAAAGATATATTAAAAATCATGTCCTGGCATTTTTGGTTGTTACATATACAGAAATACTAGTAGGCACTTGGTCTCTGAGGCCAAAGTGCATCACCCAAGACACAAAATTCCATAATTCAAATGAAGAAGGCTTTGCTTTGTCATGGGACCTCAGACAGGAATTTCAAGGATTTTTTTAGGAGAGTTAAAAATTACCAGAAATGAAAGCTATGGTAATGTGAAAGATACCAGGAATTAACATTTTTCTGTGTGTTCCAATTAGTATTGGCTGCTATACGCCAGGGAGAAGTTTGGAAATTTTTCCTACTCCTAATAAGATGTTTGAGGAAAAATAATCTTGCTAAACAATTCTAGCAGTGCGAACACGGACACTGGTTCAAGCAGCTCCCATTGGCCATGAACAGCGATCCACAGCCAAAAGGAGTTGCAATTGCCCATACCTGCAGAGACGTGGGTCAACAAAGCATTTCACAGCCAACTAGCCACTCGTCCTTCAAAGCTTCAACTCAAAATTTGAAAACCCCTACCTTAAAGATTTAATCTGCTGCAGAATTCCTTATCTAATTATTGACAAAGACAAACTCAGAGCAAACTGAAATGCCTGTGCAATTCATATCACATCTTTAAAAACAAAACAAAACAGTTATATCTGATGATAGGAGTTAAACTCTTTATTCCATTCAGAGGCATCTGGCAAGTGGAGCTGCGTTGGGGGGCACATTACAGATGAAAAATGATCCATACTTTGCAGATATTGAAATAATTTACAGTATTTACTTTCTAGCTATTCCCAAATACTCCAAATTACCAAGTCTCAATTGAAAATAAAAACATGATTTACCACACTAAGTATAGAAATTTGAGAGAGATGACAGTATTTAAATCAGCAGATGTAAATGCATTGCCTATTTGTAAAGTAACTTTTATGGAAAATTAAAGTCAAATCTTTCTCGAATATTAAGAAAAGACTGTTGGACTTAGACTTAAGCCTCAACAAAAATTAAAATGCTATGACTTTTTTTATACTTCAGTAACTTTAAATTCATTGCAAGAAAAAATTCTCCTAAAGGCTAGATGGTCACTGTCAAAAAAGGAAAAAAAAACCCTCATTTTTCTCTGCTAAAACTACAAAATAAGTTTGTGGTTTTTAAACCAATTAGTAAAGAAGAGATGCAGAAAAACACTTCAGACCATTTTCAAAATTATCTAATCTGTACAACAATGATCTTTGGGAAAATTATCTATTCTATGTGAAATGCCTCTATTTGAATATGAATCTAAGAGGTAGATCAACAAAATGATGAAACAAATGTTTTTGCTAGTTGTGCCCCTCAAATCAGTGCAGCATGGTGATTCTGATCATCTCATGCACAAAAACATCACACAAAAAAAGGTTCAGAGGTAATAGCATGGCTCTGTAGACCACACACATACAGGCGCGCACGCGCACACGCACAGCAGTCTTTATGCACCATGTGTCGCCACATCTTTAAAACTGAGGTAGACTGAAGTTTATTGTAGAAACTTGAATGTGTAATATTACCACAATCATTATTCAAATTACATTCTGAAATTAAAAAATTTGGTAGCTTTCCTGTTATCCCTGCCTTTTGACAATTTTTTTTTCTTCCTTTAATGGTTGGGTGCAGAATGTGCATAAATCCTGCTGCATCTACATAAGCCAGACTAGAGGTTGTTTTATATAGTTTAAAACCTTCCAAGTGGCTTAGCGTGGCCCACAAACAGCGGCTGGATATGTAAACTTAGCCTTTCGTTATCTTTAAACATGATCAAACAGCATTTGACCTTCCCCCATCATGGTTACTGAAAGCAGGATGATGCGATCTGCAGGAAGCAGAGACCATACAGCCTCAAACCTACTCCAGCAGATCAAGTATTCTATCAAACTGAAGATGAAGCTTGCTCTTTGAACAGAATGGCAAAGTCCAAATGGGCTGCAAATGTTTAAATGTAGCATTATTAGGTAGTGATGGTCAAAGGCACAAAGGGTTCATGCATTCAATCAAAGTAGCACAAAAAGTAATAAAAAAATTCAGTCTCCTAATTTTTTCCTCAACCCCAGCCTCTTGCCATCACTTCCTTGTTCTGTTCCCAAAAAAGTACCGTCAAACTTTTTCATCCCATCTTCAAAGAAAAATAAACGGCATTGCTGCTATCAGAATGTTGGCATCCTTCGCTATCTTTTGAACATTCACTGAATTTTTTTTAAACAAATGATGGTGAAACCCTCAGAAAATCTGAGGTTATCCTCTTTTTTTTTTCCATCTTACTCCCATCAGCCAGTAGCCAGAAGTATAGTACTATGTCCCCAGCCCCCACCCCCAAAAAAATCTGTAGTACTCCTGTCTAGTGGCTGATCAAATTTTAATTTTTTTTTAAAAAAATAAAATGCTCAAGAACTATTAGCTTTATAAAGTATACAAAAAAAAGCGCAAAAAGGAACAATTTCTCATTGAGGTACTAAATGCCTGAGGTAGTTTAGTAAAATGCATATTTATCTTTTTATGCTCTGGCCAACACCATGCAACACTTCCCTTAGGTTATTCATGGCAGTGTTATGTAAAAATGCAACCAAATTTTTAAAAAAATGCCACTTGTTTAACATTGGGACTAACACTTAAACTCTTGTCAATACCCTTTGCTCCATCCCTGCCCCATCCCAAATCCCACCCTCCAATTGTGTTTCGTCTTTTACAACTGGACCTATCCGAGCAATGCCTTTTCTTTTTTTTTTTTTTTTCTTTTTTTTTTAAACCAGTGAACTCAGAAGAGGAAGCTTCATTAAACCAAGTTCTAAAATTGCTGGGGAAGAATAAGAACAATAAAAAAGACTAACAAGTTTATGTTAAATTGTGAGAATAGAACAAAAGGGAAGTGAAGGGTTCCGTATTTTAAAGCTGGGTTTCAAAAGTTTGAGAGAGCCTAAAGAATACATTCTCAGAGACAGCGTTCAATGGTTGCCTGGTCCTCAAACAGGTGACTGGCTTGGTGAAGCTTCTGCATATAACTCCAACAGGTGTTTAAAACCTGTTACACAGTCTGTCTTTGGTCTGGCATCTGTCTCTGATGGGCCATTTCCTAAATCTTTATTTTCGTCTTGGCTGAGGCTGTCCACTTTGCGCTGTTTTTTGTTGTTGCTGCTGCCTTCTTACCTGAGCCAGTATTTCCTGAATTTTTCTCTGGGCAAGCTGTAGGGAAGAAACAAAAAAGACATTGTTGGGCTGCAATTACTACTTGTTATACTAGACTTGCTTGTTTTCCCATTACTTTGTCTTTCCCTTCCACCCACCATGTCATTTTTCCCTGTTGTCACTTACCATAGACATAGAACCCTGCAAAACCCTGGGTATCTGTGGGCCATTTTTATGGCTCATTGCTGCCATGTGGATACAAACTGTGTCAACCTAGAGCCCTGTGTTATCTCCCCACAGAAATCAGGGTGACATAATGGGGCAGGACAAATACTCTGGCCCCAGCTGCAGAAGGTGTGAGGGGCCCAGGGGATGGGGAGGTGTGGGGTGCAGGAGGCAGGACGGAGCTCTGACTGCAGCACACACTCAAAGCACCTATCACCCAGCCCTCAGGCTACAGCGAGGGTTCCCAACTTTCCAAATGCACAAAACCAAACACCTTTGCTCCACCTCAAGGGCCTGCCCTCGCTCATTCCATCCCTTCCTCCCTCTGTCACTTGCTCTCTCTCCCACCTTTATTCATTTTCACCTGGCTAGGACAGAAGTTTGGGGTGCAAGAGGGAGTGAGGGTGGGCGCTCCAGGCAAGGAGATGGGATCGAGGGGTTCAGAGTGTTGGAAGGATTTCCAGGCTGAGGCGGGGCTGGGTTGCAGGAGGGGATATGGGCTCTGGAGTGGGGGTAGCGATGATTTATGAGGGGCCTCTGGGCTGTGGCTCAGGGGTGTGGGAGGAGATACAGGCTCTGTGATGGGCATGTAGACTCTGGAATGGGGCCAGAAATGAGGGGTTCAAGGTATTGAAGGGGGATCCAGGCTGGGATGTGGGGTGAGGGCTCTGGGATGACGGTGGAGGGAATGGGGGTGCAGAAAGTGGCTTTCGGCTGAAGTCAAGGAGTTCGACTCCAAATGGGGGTTGAGACACAGGAGAGAGAGCTCAGCATGCAGGCTCCAGGAGAAAGTTTGGGTGTGAGAGGGATTCTAAGCAGGGGCAGGAGGTTGAACTATGGCCAGCTCCCCACAAATGCAACATGTCCTCTGGCTTCTCCTCCCAGGGCACTGTCTCTGCAGCTCCCACTGCCTGCGATTGCTGGCCATTTGGAACTGGCATTCAGGGCAGGGCAGAAGCAGCAACAGCATGAAGAGGCCACGTGACTGCCCCTCTACCTAGGAGCTGAATCATCTGAGGCACATGCACCTGCTTCCAGGGAGCTGTAGGGAGCCAGCCAGGCCCATGCCAACCAACTTCTAACAGGCTTTCTGATGGAAAACCCGATACCTGGTAACACTGGCTCCAGCTTGGCTCTCTGAATCACTGATGATATGGGGCAATAGGCTGCTAGGCATTCTAGGAGTTTGTCCCCAGCTTGCTCAGATGGAGGAGGTAAACTAGGTGGGAGCACGACTGTGTGCTCCTATGCAGTAAGCCAAGTGCCATTTTGAAAGAAGTGTTGTACTTTGAGCTAGCAGATAGCAATGGCACATGCTGTGAGGAGAGCAGTTTTC